CAGTCGATATGGAGAACACCCCAGAGCCATCGCCATTGATAATTGTGTACTTCATGTCTGCGTTTGAGCCAGTGTCTGCATCATTTGCTTTGATTTTGCCAACTGCTGATCCAACTTGAGCTGACTCAGGAACATACAGCTGGTAGTGTTCTGGAGGGGAAAAAACCCCAACATAATAGCTTAGATATTTTCTAGTGAAACTAAATTAGAGAACCATTATGTGCTTGATACACCTCTGAGTAAATGGAAGACTATTTCATATGCAAAACTGACAAATACACCTATGAATTTATCTAGATTCCTGAAAGAATTCAAAATGGAATTGTATTTTACTTGGGATGTCTTCATTCCCTAATTAAAATTCAAATTACTTAATGTAAGATTTCAGCTTTCACAGTTATTCTTGCTGTATATCACATAACACAGAAATTAGCTCAGAAGCTTATTTCACACCAGTATTTTTATAAGTTTATATTCTCCTTAACCAATATATTTATATATATCTTCACCAACTTAAAATGAAATGAGCAGTGGAGTACTTTTTAATTTCCAAATCTTCACATGTTACAATTTATTTTTCTGAAATATGATGCTTTGCAACATTGCATCAATATTTTCATCACTCTTTTCTTCCTATAGAAAAATGCAATCAATCTCAGTATTTTACCATTACCACTTTGCAATGGTTTTGTTGCAGAACAAAACTCTTTAAACACAAATTTTAAGTGGCATCCACAGTAAAGGGAAATTAACATAATGGGTGCATAAACATATTACACAGTTGTGCCCAGAAAAAGCATCCTTTACAACCGTGACATACTTTCAGTGTTTTTAGAACCTGTTAGGTAAATAATTAGAAAAGGAAAAAATACCAATGATAATTTCCTTAACTGTCTCTACCCACTTCTGTGAAATCTCCTAAAAGGCACAAAGTTTCCTGGTAGACAAGGAGAAGAAATACGTGGCAAACAGGCACAGTGTCATTACATAAACCTCAATTTCCATCTAAAACTAGGCCAGAAAAACAGCTTAAATATTTTTCTCCAATAATGCTACTCTTGTAACACTGCAGGGGTGCTGAAACCGATCAGCACTGAAAAGGAGAACGTACATTCAGTCGAAGGTGTGCACATAAAACACCAACTCCATTCCCCTCCTAAACAACTACTCATCGAAATGCCTCCCCAACAGTCTGCAGAGTTTACATCACAGTCCAAACACCATACAGAAAAAAAAGCAAAATAACTTCAGTAATTACATATCTTCTGAAACTCTACAGATTTTCTTTTATATTCCTGTTAGACAGTCTGTGATAATGGGTGCAAGAGTGCAACACTGAGTTGCAGGACAACAGATCAGCAGATTTGAAAGTGTACATATGAAAGCTAACGTTGCAGTTTCTGAGTTTAAACCATGCATGACTGCAGAGGTTACCCATGTTAAGCATGTAGAAAGGCAAAATGTAAAATGAATTCAAAGATTAAACATGAATTATGGCAGAAACCCAGTATTTGTTGGATGGATTGAAGAAATTATGAATCTACAGAAGTTGTTATTGGAAAGGGAATGGATGCCATCACTAAAATATTGCTAACTATATTTACAGACAGCTGTTAGAAAACAAAAGATTTTATTCTAAATTTATCTAATTCCTTGGACAACAGTTCCTAAACCTATTTATAGTTTTTAATAATTTTTGTGATACTAGCCCATAATACTAATAAACAAATAGTAGTGTGAAAAGGATGGACAAGTGCACTAAACATAGTCCAAAAGGAAAGAGAGGTTTCCTAGGAAAACAAAAATAAGCTACTATTAATTACAAAAATCTCAACAAAAGTAAGAAATGTTCAGCAGAACAAGATAAAAGGAACAATTTACCACATAAAAAATAAAATTCCAACACTGATGTAACAGGACAATTGCTCGATTCTTTTAAAACACATAGTTAATACTTTGACACAATTATCTGATATGCATATAAATCCACCTTCATAGATTTCCTAACAAATACTCTGCCACACTTTTTGCTTCCAGATGATGTCAACTGACACTTTCATAATGCTGGTTGCTTTATTTCATACATAAAATTATAGTAATGGGATGAGATTCATTTTGGAATTTACTTATTGTTAAAATAAACGCAAAATGTGTTCTTTTGACACTTTGGCTCTGACTAATGCATTCCAAAAAGGAAAAGGTCGAGGCCATAAAGAATATGTTATATAATCCAGCCACTTCAGGAACTAGAAGTGTTATAACTCATATGATAGGGTGAACTAATTGGAGACTTCCAAATAGTTGAGCTGGTTCAAATATATCTACATGACAGTACACTCTGCTTTGTAATCACACCCCAAGTGTAAGCCATCTGTTTCAGAAAATCATTTTACTGATACCAGCTTCGAACATTCTTAAATACTAAAACTTCAAGTAAAACAAATATTTGAAATGACTCTTTCATTATCTGCATTTGTAGAACTGAAATGTTTAAAAAGAGTGGATGGAATTAAAAGAACACTGTTAAAAAAATGTAAACTCTTACATCATAAGGTCAGAAATGTCTCCCAACAAGTATTTAACTACTGCTTCACAGAGGCAGCCTGAACTTGTCTCATACAGACATAAGCCAAAGCGATAAATACAGACTATACTATCTAAAACCAACAAACACCTAGGAGGATTAAATTCAGCAACACGAAGGTTAGATAAACTATATCATAGACATTTATTTAGGCCAGTGGAAATCTGAAATGTTCTTACTAAACACTAAATCATTGTAAACTTTATTGCTAGTAAGAGGAACCAACTAAGAGCTCAATTGAATGTTTCCCTGGGCATTGGATAAAGAAAGTTTGATAGGACATTATCAAATATGGGATGTGTATGTTGTGAATTTGTGATTCAGTATTTTAAGCTATGAGTCTGTCTCAACTCTCTGAAAAAAATTGATTGGGAAGATAGGAGCCCTGATAATCAGGTATCATCAGTCTGTATCAAAACTGTCTCACCAAATCTGCTCAAGCTGAACAGATTGCTCCTATGCATTCCAGCCTTCCAAGAGCTGTTGTAAAGCAGAAATTTCTTAGGGATGGTCTAATTTTTTCTAGAGCAGCTGCCCAGTGTCTTATGGAGGTTGACTGGTTCTCAGTTTTTATAATATTCCCTCAGATGCATTCGCTTAGCTCATGAAATGAGGAAATTAATGCTCTTTTCCAAATAATGTACTGTATAGGATAGTCACATCATATTGCAGGACTTTATTCTATATTAGTTGAAGCATTTTTCAAATGTGTATATTTGATCTTCATCTTTCTTTCAAAAAAACTTTATGCTTTATCTGTCATTATAGTACAGAAACAATTTATTTATCTTTAAAACAATTTGCTTTCATTTCAGTTAGCCTACGGGCAAATTGTAATGCTGTTTTACTCTCATGAAAATATAATTTCTCTGACTGAACCTCTCAAGAAAAGAAGTATGACAGAATTTATTGAAAATCAATAAGCATGTTATTCAATTTATTTTATTCATTAATTTATCTTGTTGATAATTTTTACTTACTTTTATAGATTATAATGTTCTCTTGAATTGTAGGAATTACCTTACTTAACAAAGGAAGGGAAGGAGAGGCATAATACTGAACGAATAGACAAACAACCAAATATTTTGTCTTTTATTTTTTTTTAACCCAAGGTATAGTTTTAGCAACAAAAGGAAAAACACCACTTGGTGATGGACCAACAGATACATTCATTGATAGACCACAGCTCATACACCAATGTCTTTGTCTATCTAGTAGCAAACTGATAAATTCAGCATCTGATTGTCTTGACATAAAATATCATCATATCCTAAATGCATATCAAAGTGCTATATGAAGAAAGTTTGCTTGAACCTACAACTAGTTAAAAACTCAGTCATGAGCCAAATTGATGAGATATAGAGAACAAATGAACAGTGAGCCAAGCTCAAAGTCTGATGATTATGAGCACAAAATTAGCCTGGCAGCCAATTAGAAATAGTTGTTCATGAATCAAATCTGTGGCCAAAAATATTTAATGTCTTAATTAATCACCTGAATGATGGGTGGCATGTGGACAATATCAACTTGGGAAAATCTGGTCAGCATTCTGGACAGCATGGCTGCTGTTCAAAGGGACCTGGACAGGTTGAAGAAATGGGCTCAGAAGAACCTCATGACAGTCAACGATGGCTCCAGAGGAAGAATAATGCCATTCATCAGTACACACCGGGGCCAGACACCTGTAAAGCAGTTTTGCAGAAAGGAACCTGCAAAGGACCTTTCAACACTTTACTCAACAAGGCTCTTAACAACTTGATGTAACTGAACCTGCTTTTAAGCAGTGCTTTGGGTCAGATGACCTTTTGGAAGTCTCACATGAATCTATGATCCTGGCATTCATGAAGTTATGTCTCATGTTTTAGTGCCTGCTATCTCTGATAAAACTAAAGTGGAGCTCCAACTGTGGACTGTTCTCAGTCTTCTTTGGTGGTTTTCTATGAGAAAGCTATCCACTTACAGAGCTGCTTGTTTTCATTACATGTAACAGATTATTCTGGATTTCTCTTGTGAGAATACAGAATTTTAGAATTATATTCCTCACAGTATGTCTTGGACATTTGTCACGTCTCCATTTACTATGCCTATTTTTAACATAATAAATCCAATTTTAATCCATAGTCATTATGAATACAGTAACTATTATGATTCCAGAAGCTCAGTCAATTTTATATCTACTGTCTTTGATCTGAATATTCTTTTTGATGCCAACCTCTCTTTCATACAACTAAAGTAAGAAAGAAATCTTTAAGATGTATGTTTGGCTTATTCTTCTTCCCTACCAAAAAAACCCAATGCTTTTGAATTTTCTGAAAATATTTGAATTGTAAGTGAAGTAACTTCTTATATGCAAATATGACACCAAAAGACTCTTCAAAACTCGAACCCTTCAAACTTCTGCTTGCCTTGAAACTCTAGAGAATATAACAATCTTGAGTCAATTTAGAAGAAAAACAGCCCTCAAACATTCTTCTTCAGTGCAATAGACTCCTTTGGCTGGAAGATAATTTGTGCATGCCCATGCCCCTGCTTTTTAAATCTCAGTATAAACCAGGAGTTATGGTTG